CCGAGGGCGCGACCGTGCCGACTCCAGTGAAGCCATGGTTGGGTCTCTACCTCCCACGAAAAGGATAGGGTTTAGGGTTTAGGGTTTAGGGTTTAGGGTTTAGGGTTTAGGGTTTAGGGATTCAGGGAATAAGGGCTTAGGATTCAGGGATTCAGGGGCTTAGGATTCAGGGAATAAGGGCTTAGGATTCAGGGAATAAGGGGCTTAGGATTCAGGGATTCAGGGGCGTAGGATTTAGGGGCTTAGGATTCCGGGGCTTAGGATTTAGGGGCTTAGGGTGTAGGGTTTAGGGTGCAGGGTTTAGGGTTTAAGGTTTAGGGTTTAGGGTTTCAGGTTGAGTGTGTAGGGTTTAGGGTTTAGGGTTTAGGGTGGTGTAGGGAAGCTGAGGGTTCTATAGGGAGGGTTTGGGGATAGCTTAGGGTGCCTTTAACGGCTCCTATAAGGGCTTAGGGTTCCGGTTCCTTTACGGGCTTCTGGTTTAGGGGTTTAGGGGTTGAGAGGTTTAGGGGCTGAGGGGTTTAGGGGTTTAGGGATTTAGGAGCTTAGGGTTTAGGGTTTAATTTTAGGGCTTAGGGTTTAGGGGTTTGGATACTGCAAATACTTTAAGGGTACTAAGAAGGGTACTCAGGTACTGTTGGGGCACCATTACAAGGACAGTTTAGGGTTCCATGAAGGGTTCCTAGGAGGGCTCTACTACAGGCTCATGGGTTAAGGGTTTTTTTGTGTGTTTGGACGCTCTTTTTCGGTTAGGGTTAGGGTTCAGGTATCGGATACTTTGTTGAGGAATAAGCGACGCTAACTGAGAGGGACCTATGTTAAACACCATGGCTTCCGCATTGTGGTAGCTCAGATGAAATTCCTTGACCGGAATCCAGTATAAGGCCGCTACAAAGATACCTCAGGTACGTCAAGGTACCACCGGGGATCCTGCTTAGGGGTGCGATAAGGGGTACAATGAAGGGTGCTACTGGTTAAAAATTTACAACGCCAAAACCCGGGGCCTGAAACCCTAAACCCTAAACCCCTAAACCCTAAACCCTAAACCCTAAACCCCTAAACCCCTAAACCCTAAACCCTAAACCCTAAACCCTAAACCCTAAACCCTAAACCCTAGCCTGAACCCAGCAGCCAGAAATCCTACAGCCCCACTACCCTCAAGCCCTCGCCTTATCCGAATGTCGGGATCAGAAGGGTTGCCAACACTGTTCCCTAGAGGGTTCGGTACTACGTATGAGATCTCCCAAAACCCTGTTCGATTGATTCACAAGTAGACCAGGGTTTTGGGGTATCTTCTACTAGAATCCTGAAACCCTAAACCCTAAACCCTAAACCCTAAACCCACTACCCACTAACCTCTAAACCCGAAATCCTATCCCTGGCCACCCGGGCCCAGCAGACCCCGCCTCACTGCCGACTCTGAGGCAAAGCCCAGCAATTGCAAGGGCCACACAAACTTCAGCAATGTAGGGGCCCAAAAAAGTAGAATAGGGTTCTGGGGTCCTGTATAGTATAGTTATAATAAGGAACCCTAAGAATAATATTGGTAATTATTTAAGCCCCTATGATACTGCAAGACCCTTGGCCAAGAAAATGCTCTAAAACCCTCTAAAAGCTCGGCTCAGATGCTGGGCGGAGCTGCAGTTTGGAGTGATTCTGGGCGGCGGGTTCTCCGAAGTGTATAGGGACCCTCGCCGTAAACCTTACGGTACTTCTTATGCCCTAAACCCTAAACCCTAAACCATCACCTGATAGAAACCTAGTAACCAGAGATACTCTCAGATCTGACCTGGAGCCACAAGGAGAGCCGTTGCAAAGCAGAGCGTCTACCCGACTCTGACTTCCTAGCACTCCCTAAACCCTAAACCCTAAACCCTAAACCCTAAACCCTAAACCCTAAACCCTAAACCCTAAACCCTAAACCCTAAACCCTAAACCCTAAACCCTAAACCGAGACCGAGGATTCCGGCTTCAGCCTTAGAACTTACATCAAGCTCATGGGCAGTTCTCTAAACTAGGGTCCCTTTTTAGGTCCCCAATATAAATAGTACGGCACCCTTATAAAAAGGACCCCAAAAGGGACCCTATTTTAGAAAAACTGCCCTCATCAGCAAGAGCCCAGCAAGCTTATCCTCCCCCTCGCAGGATCAGGTGGACTAAGCCATTACGCTTAGAACGCTTATAAGTACTCTAACCGGGGCTACAAGTTGCAAGTTCAGTTACGCAACTTTTAACCACTTTTAACTCTAGTTCCTAGTTACTAAGAAAGGGCCATGATCCTTTCAGCAGACTCACTTTTCCAGGCAGGAGCAAATTGAGAGACGGTGTGGCCCTGTGGCACAGCAGTTTCTGTAAGCATCACCCTTAACCACTTGTTTGGGGTTTAGAGTTAGGGTTGTATCGGGCTGAAATAAACCGTATACCGCATCAAAGAAGGGTCTATATAGGGCTTACAGCCTGCAACCAGAGTCACCAGAGGCAGCTGCTTTGCAGCGTCGGCTGGTGACAAAGCCCCTCGGCTTTTCCCAAAGAACCCAATACCCCTTAATTAAGGAATATACCTTACCTTAAACTACCAAACCCTACTTTTTTGTAGGTTCCTATTGGAAACCCTAATATGGAATTTATAGGGACCCTACAAAAAAGTAGGTTTTGGTAGGTTAAGGTAAATCATAATAGCAAGGCCTCTATAATTTAAGGTATGTTCCTTACTTACGGGGTATTGGGTTCTCCGGGTTCGGGAAGCGAGAAAGAAGTCCTCGGGACGTGCAGCTCGCTTTCCCAAAAACATGGGGGTTTAGGGTTTAGGGTTTAGGGGTGTCAACATGGAATAAGATTTTCAGGGGCTTTTAGAGGGGTGTTCTCAGGTCTTTAAGGCTTTATAGGCTCAATAATTGGACTAGGGGTTTGGGATTTTACTGGATTTCCAGGCCCCTACACTACGTCAAGAGTACCAGCACCATGGCCAGCAGAGAGACCTGGGCAGAGCTCAAGACCTTCGAGCTCAGGCCCGCCGCAGCGTCGCAGTAGGAGGCGAAGGAGCAGCTACTTCCCCGGCACTCCGTGATCTCGCAACTGCTGGAGTTACATTCGAGGGTCGTGGTTTCCTTAGACACCTCGAAACGCAACGCGGGGTCCACAAAGTTCTGCGTGTTCGAGCACTCCAACTGCACCTGCGACACGGCGAACGCATTCCCCCAACCGCCTTGATGGATGCGGATCATGGATACAGGCATGGGCGCGCCCAGATCCAGAACCATCCACTGGCCACCTACACCTACTTTGGACTCATCCCAGCAGCTGCAGCTGAGACCTACGTCGTAGTCGCCTTCCCAGAAGTCCTCTAAGTTCTTGTTCACGGCCAAGTCTGCTGTTCTCCCCTTCCCAGCTCCCGAGTCAGAAACGACCAAAGGCGATGTACTGCTGGTGATCCTTAGTCCACAGTACCCCTCCCTTATGGTAACCTCAACCCTCCCTAAATCCTAAACACTAAACCCTAAACCCTAAACTTCGACTAGCCCTTCTGGCTACCTAAACCCTAAACCCTAAACCAGGCGAGGATCCCGTCGTCTGTTCGGAAGATTTCCACCTCGTGGAGGTCCCAGCTGACCCCGCAAGTTCCATGACTGACACAGCAGGCGCTTGAGACACGAAGATACCGGTATGCCTAGGTCCAAAATTGCCAGAAATCGTCTTAGGAGTCGGCAACAAGTGGCTAAACACCTACGCAAAAATATTGCTGTGAGTTTGAAAAACCTGCAACGGTACTCCAGAAACCCTAAAAAGTCTGCAAACGTGTGCTACACACACACACACACCCAAAAACATCGCCATGATTTTGAAAGAATGATCTCGAACAAACCGCCAAGAAACAAGTAAACCCTAAACCGAAAAAAAAACCTAGAGTTCCCTGAATCATAATGGGCCCGGTATGCATTGAAAGGGTTGCAGGCTGCGGCGGTTTCGACCGGAGGACCGTTTGTAGAGGATACCAGAGGACCGTCTCCAGAGGATAGCCGCAGAATGGCCAGGTGGAGCAGCCTGTTTGGGTTTAGGGTTTGGGGTTTAGGTTTAGTTTAGGGTTTAGGGCTTTCGGGCTTATGGTTTGGGGTTTTGGACTTTGGGTCATGGTATCTCTGAAAAGCTCCTATCAACTCTCGGGCGAGGTGATAGCGATGCACCCTCTCATCCCTTCCAGAGACCCAAACACCCGAAGTTCCGTCCCTAAACCCCAACCCCTACAGTAGAAGCCCAAAAGTTGGAAACCCAATAGCTTCAATCCTTAGTACTACCTTAAACTACCAAAACCTACTTTTTTTGTAGGGTCCCTATAAATTCGATATTATGGGTTTATAGTAAGGACCTAGAAAAAAGTAGGTTCTGGTAGTTCAAGGTAATGTACAAACTCCGGACTCCCGCCAGATCATTAGGGTTCTACTAAGTGCGAGCAGATGCAAGACCGGGACGTCGACCCGAAGCTGTCGACTACGTCACCACGAAAGCGCTAGTTCAGGAATAGCGGGTTTAGGGTTTAGGGTTTAGGGTTTAGGGAATAGCGCTTACAGCAGCATAGTGAGCCTCCTAGGAGAGTTTTAAGTAGATGCAGTAACTCAAGGGTATTGGGCTCACTGGGTCTTCGATCTGGGCGCGAGTCCATGGGGAAGCTCAACGCGGCTAAAATTACCATTTTTCCCTTCATAAGCACCCTTGTACAAACCCTGCAAACCTTGTATACAAGCCTTGCGGTCTATTGCTTAGTCAAGAGGAATTGGGCTCTGTGGGTCGTGCCTTTGGCGATCAGGATGCAGCTTTGCGAGGCAATGACATTGATATAGGGAAACAGCACTACTAACTACTACAAATATAGTAAGGAACGCTAAGGAAATTGTATTTCTACTTATTTCGGCTTGCATCTGCCGCCTTCCAAGCGGCATGGCTGCACTCCTTCGGTGTGGTCCGGAATGACAGGCCGCTGCCTAGAATCAAGCTATAGCCTGGCACGCATCCACATGTGTCTGCAGCTAGCATGCTGTATACATCTGCTCATTTTAGTCTTCATGTCGGAGCCGAAGAGCAGGCATTTCAGGTTCCGGAAGTGCAGAAGAACCGAGAAAGGGCGCACGGCCAGGATCAGGACGATGTGCTTTCCTTGCGTGCTGCTACTCTTGGCGGTCCACTTCGGGACCGCTGCTATCTAGAGCTGCGACCCCCTTCGCCACGTCTTTGGTGCTCCAGGGTCCTACTGTTGATGATATAAATCCTAGGCATTACCCATAATACTGAATGGATCATAATTCTGATAGTTTAGGGTCCTTAAGGTAATGCAGGATAATATACCATAATTCCCATAGTTTGGGGTCCTTAAGGTAATGCGGGATTTAGATCATCAACCGTGGAAACTGCCTGATCTTCAGGCAGCAAAAAAACTCTGAGCCGGGCTTTGTCATCTTTGCGAGTCAGCTCTCAGCCATCTCTGCTTCGCAAGCTCAGGTATCCTGGAGGTAGGGTTTAGGGTTTAGGGTTTAGGGTTTAGGGTTTAGGGTTTAGGGTTAAGAGTTTAGGGTTTAGGGTTTAGGGTTTAGGAGACGCGCGCTGAATCAAAGAACATCAGGTCAACTTGCAGAGGGGATCCTTAAGCATGCTTTAAGGCTTAGGGTATATAGGGGTTTGGGAGTCGCTCCTCTATCGAAGAACATCCCCTCAAATGCAGGGGATGGGATCCTTCAGATGGAGTTTTGGAGTCTCCTTTTGGTGGATTCAGCTATTGCCCCCAGCTCTGGCAGTGCAACACGAAGACATGCCGGAACTAAGCACAGAGCGAAGCCCGAAACTCTGAGCGCTGAACCCGAAACCCCCAACCCCGTTTAACCCCACGCCGTAAAGTTTAGGGTTTAGGGCTTAGGGTTTAGGGTTTAGGGTTTAGGGTTTAAGGTTTAGGGTTTAGGGTTTAGGGTTTAGGGTTTAGGGTTTAGGGTTTAGCGTCTAGGGTCCTAATTCCCAAAGCCACTCCCCCTGAATCCTGAAATTGACTCCCCCACCCCCGCACCCTAAGCCCTGAAGCCCTGAACCCGAAACCGCCGGAGGCAGTCGGTGCTCTCCGATGCGGGCTTGTCGGCCAGCTCTTAGAGTACGACGGGGTTTAGGGTTTAGGGTTTAGGGTTTAGGGTTTAAGGTTTAGGGTTTAGGGTTTAGGGTTTAGTACGATCAGAACCAACCCTGATAAAGTCCTACTCTTCAAGGATTTTAGAAGACTAGAAGCACCATGCAACTCTAGGATTCTGCCCATGTTAAAGCAGCAACCTGTCTGTCTGTAAACGTTGTTTTGCTAAAGGCACGCCCTTTGCCAGAGACGCTGATAGAGTCCCAACCCTAAACCCTAAACCCGGAACCTTAAACCCTAAGCTCTAAACCCTAAACCACCTCAGCTCTATATATAACCTACCTTTGTAGGGTTCTGTACTATGATTTTCGTATACAACTCCTTAGAAAGGTAGGTTCTTGAGGGTCAAGCTTAGCCTAGTTCATGGTTGGGATAATATTCAAGATGTAGAGTTCTGTTCCTCACTGGGTTTAAGTACCCATAAAATTGCAAAATGCTACGTAACTATGACAAAGAAACCAAACCTTATTCTATCTATTCATGCCCCTATACTAGACCCTTAGAGTGGCCCTTCTGGCAACCCTTATAGACCCTTGGTAGGTTCTTCTAAGGTCGTAAACCCCTTCTCAATGCTTCTAAAGTCTTAAACCCTAAACCCCAAACCCAAAACCCTAAACCCCAAACCCAAAACCCTAAACCCCAAACCCAAAACCCTAAACCCCAAACCCCAAACCCTTGCACCCCCTAAATGCTCTCAGGCCTCCTCGGGCTCTTTGTGCAACCTTGCACGTAGCTCGTCCATGTCGACGTGCTCCAGGCCGGACCTGAAGCGTTTTTTAGGGTTTCGGGTTTAGGATTTAGGGTTGAAGGTTTAGGATTTAGTGTTTAAGGTTTAGGATTTAGGGTTGAAGGTTTAGGATTTAGGATTTAGGGCTTGGGGCTAGTTGGAGGAGGGTTCCTTAAAAAGGTGCCTGTAGGGGATACTATAAGGGTACTAGAAGGGTTCAGCACAGGGGCCTGCAAGGGATACTATGAGGTTGCTATAAGGGTTTCGAAGGAAAGCCCTGAATACTTAGAACAAGGTCTACGTACTTTAACTAGAAAGGAGACCCCACCGAAACAGTCTGGGTGACTTTGCACGGCCCTAGATTATTTTGTTAGGGCCCTTGTAGGGCTTAGGGCTATAGGGTTCTAGGCCCTAGGGTCCACACCTAAACCTCTAAACCCAAAAGACAAGTGACCCCTTTCAACCCTTAACCGTGAAGCCCTAATCCCCCCAAAACTGCTGATCTCAAGAAAACGGGACCCTAACCCTTCCAGTTCCACCCCTTTGAACCCAAAATCCAAAAGCCCAAAATCCTAAACCCTAAACCCTAAACCCTAAACCCTAAACCCTAAACCCCTAAACCTTAAACCCTAAACCCTAAACCCCTAAACCCAGGGACCCCTTGGCCATCTCCAGCAGCTGCTCCACGCCGTTTAGCATCTCAGCCTGCGGCTTCTGTCACAGGACGAAGATAGGGTTTAGGGTTTAGGGGTTTAGGGTTTAGGGTTTAGGGTTTAGGGTTTAGGGTTTAGGGTTCAGGGTTTACTACGAAAATAAGGGCCTCAATAATCCCTTTACCGGTTCCTTTCAGGGTTGATGTAAGGGTTACCCATAAGGCTTGGTATAGGGGCGAACCTAAACCCTAAACCCTAAACCCTAAACCGTTGCGGGGGTGGGTATACTGAAACTAGGCCAAGGAGCCCTCAAGAAACTCTTCGGGCTGAGGGTTTAGGTTAGGGTATGGGGGTTTAGGGTTTAGGGTTTAAAGTTTGGGGTTTTGGCGGATGTGGCTCGAGTCCTAACGGCGCACTCCCAAATTCGGTTCGAGCATCTAGTCCTGCAAGAGGGCCGGGCCAAAAGCCTGCAGGGGTTTGGGGTTTAAGGTTCAGCACCCGCCTCTGAGACGTCGTCGCTTCCGTCGGCATCCAAGACGTCGAAAAGATCTTCAATGACGTCGCAGTCCAGGCCCAGCGACTCGAGCTTAGCCTGTCACACGGTGTTTTTATGTCCTAAACCCTAAACCCTAAACCCTTTCCTCTCGCTCCCGGCGGGTTTCGGGCTTTTGGTTCGGGGTGTTAGGTTAGGAGCTTTGGGGCTCGGGTTTTTGGGTTTCGGCACTTTGTTGGGTTTGAGGTTCCTAATCACGTCGATATACTTATCATTACTTGGTTTAGGGATACGAAACAGGTAACCAGACTTCTCATTACTTTTTTCCGCAAAGTGGTATTGATAGCTTGGTAACCTTGCTCACTAAGTGCCCTAATCTTCGAAGTAGACCCTAAACCCCAAACCCTAGAACCCTTTTTGAGCCTTGTAGATTCCTTATTTAGGGGGCCCTTAAAGGAACCCTGTTCCCGGTTTCGGGTGTAGGCTTTCGGGTTCAGGGTCTGTATACTAGGTTTTCCAGTAGCCCCTTAATGTTCTAGGGTGCCCTTTTTGTCCCACTGCCTGGTTGTAATAAGTAGTAAAAAGTGAACCCCAAAAGAACTGCTGGGGAACCTGATTAAGGTCTTCCAGGTTT